TACAGTTACATTCTAAGGCACTGGTGACTGGAATGATACCTTGAATTTGAGTGAAGGGTAGGGCACAATTCAGCTCACAACATCTTGTCATTTATTTTAGAATATTAATAGATTATCATTGTCTGAGTATATCTCATCCTCAACTTGAATGAAAGATACCCAGATAAAAGGGCTTAAGATTCAACATCCTCAGCAATAAATGGCTTGGCTGATTTTCTTGATCACTATTGGAATTTTATTCACATTTATACTACTACAAACATATCTGGAGGGCAAAAAATAATCAGCCACAGTGAGTGATTATGCTAGATGACTTCCAAGTTTTCTTACAAATATTACTCTCAGTTTTCCATCACCATCTATGTGATTCTCCTGTGAAATTTTTTTCTAAGGAGTTTCAGTCATTTGCTTAATTTCTATGTAAAGGTCCCAGGAGTGGTAGTACTTTTTTTGTTACTATAGTGAAATATCTAAGGCTGTGTAACATCATAAAGAAAAGGAGTTAATTTAGCTCATAGGTCTGAAAGTCTCAGATTGGGAAACTCCATTGGTTTGGTCTCTGGTGACTGCAGATGGCATCATGTTGGGAGCACACATGGGTGGTAAGAAATCCTATCCTGAAACAGGAAGCCAGAGAACTTTCTGGAGTCAGGCCCAACTTTTGTAATACCTCCCAGTGGCAAGAGCTCACAGAACCCAGAACTACCTCAGTCCCTTCTGAGGGCAGGGCCCCCAATGACCTAAAGACCTCTCACTAAGCCCTACCTCTTATAGTTTCACAATATTCCCCAATACCACCAAGCTAAGCACCAACCTTCAATGCATGAAGCCTTGGGGACCAAACCATAGAACAGGGCCAGTCCTAACCCTCTGAGTTCCCCATCTTTGATAACTTTCATGTTTGCATCCAGCAGTACCTGACATCCGGGCTTGGTTAGGACCTGGCAGTTCATTTCATTTTATTTTACAGCCAAGGAAACAGAGGTTCAGGGAAATATAATGGCCTGGCTTGTCAAAGTTTTCCCTGTAAGGACTCTGAGTAAGTTCTTCTGACTTTAAGGCCAGCATTTTTTTTCCTATTAACCCCTGATTTTTCATTACACAAAAAGAGAAACACCAAGGGCTTTCTGTCTTATACATAACCACTCATGTAATGAAGGATTTTAGCCTCTCTTGTGAATTCCAAGGAACCCTAAAACAGAGTATCTTTGGTACCAAAAAGATCTAGCATAACAATTTTGTTGGCTCATAAAGTGCTCAAATGCTCAATCTATGTGTTTAAATATAATCCCCAATGGATATATTTTTCTTCAAATAAAAAAGAGTTTCCTTCAACAACAGGTAAAAAAATAATATTTAGGAAATAATATTTAGAAAATATTTAGGAAAATAGTATAAATTTGTCCCTGAATCAATTCTAGGATGGTGAGGGTGATATCAGCTTCATGGCCTGCCATCTCCTCACCTGTAAATTCTGCCCCAAAGCTGTGAGTTTTCTCACCAGGTACAAGATAAATCATATTCAAACATGTTTGTTACTAAACATGAGGCTTGTTAGAATATTATGTACAGTATTTTTCCAGAAGAAGTGGAAAAATTAACTTATCAACCAAGCTGAATTTCAAGTTAGGTAATATATTTTTCTGAAAATATATAGGCATAACAAGTTTGGAAATTTTGTGACCTTCTTAGGCCAGTTTTCATTCGAAAAGGAGGGTAAGGTCTTTGTCAGACTCCTGTGAATTGCACTCTCCCACAATCAAAAAGATCCTTCTGTCCCAAACAGAAAAGCAAAAACACCCAGAAGCTGAAAGGAAGGTGTGTCTCAGTGTGACAGAGGCTCTGTGCCAAATCAGGAACGTGGGTCTGACAAACAAAAGGGCATGTCACTGGCTTGGTTTCTCTGTGGAGCTTGTGATGGTCCCTTTTGCTTACTGAAGTCTGACTTCCTGAAATGGATTTTGTTCATTTTCCACTGCAATTGAGAAAGCTGCACGTGGCAGTGTATGAATTGTATCTCCCAGCAAAGCCAAGAAAGCCAAGTGGAGTGGGGGTGGTGTGCATGTGTAAAACTCCCAGCACAGAACTGAAGTCAGGCTGGGACGTACAATAACAGCTATGTGTGACCCAGCAGCCCGCAAACTGCTTCCCCACAAGGGCAGAAGTGTGCCAAGTGAGAACGAGAGAGTCTTTTGTTAATTCTCTTTATCTTAGAGACTGGTTATTTGTTTGCTGGGGGAAATTTTTTAAATAAATAAATAAATAAATAAATCCCTTGCTTGTGTACAGTCTGATATTTTTTCTCTCCACATCTTCATTTCTATTTCTCCAAAGCATCTCTTTTCTTTAATTTGAGCATCAGATTCTAGCATTTTTACACAAAGTAGTGCCCATATATGAAGTCAGGCATTGCAGAGTTCTCAGTCTTGTCTTTTAACCTAATTTATTGGGTTCTCAGTGTGCTCATGGAACAGAGTTCAGAATATCCATTTTTTTGGATTTCTTCGATTTTGGTGTTCTGTTAGAGATCTATAATGAGACACGAAAGTTCTCATCCCCTTTCTGTTAACATAATTTGCAAGAGTTCTCCCTGGACCCAGAGCACATGGTAAGTCCTGCATAACCAGCAATAACAGTGCATGCTTAAAAGCCTGCCTGGACGGTGTGCTAAATTCTAAGACCCTCTCACAAAGGTTAACAGAAAAACAGACCAGATGCTGAGGATCTAACTAGGTGAGCAGAAAAAAAAGCTGCACAGCTATTGTACACATAGAGGATTAGGCTTGTGGAATCACATTTGGAGTTTTAACAATTCCAGAAGAAAGTCACCTTTAGGCAATCCACTTACCCAAACTCGCGCAGTCTGAGTTAACTGGAGTTTTGTTTGGGGAGCTCTAGTTTTATTTACTTGCTTGCTTATTAAAGATGCTGGAAGTTAAAACTACTGCTGGAATCGGAACTACACAATTATTTTCATCTTTGTACATTTTACCTGGCTCAAAAAGATAAGAGAGGAAACAAGTGTTGAAGAGTCTGATCTAATACCTCCACTAAGTAGTCCAAAAACAAGACTCCATTTATTACCACCCTAATAAACTAGACAATAAACACAACTCTAGGGTGTCAGATTACTGTGAAGCAAAGGGACCAAAGAAATTTGACATGGACACATGGAGACCTGCCCATTTTTTTGCACTTGAATTTAGAAAACATAGAGGTAGCTAGAACTTTGTAAAACAAATAAGCACTTTAAAAATCATCAAATATTACATACTGATAGAGTTTTCTCTTGTCCACATTAACAATCTAAAATAGGTCCTTGTGATACCTTTGGGGAACAGCAGCATAACAAAAAAATTCTTAGCCAAGAACACCGACTTTTGTGCATTTTTTATATCCCAAGGTTCTAAGGAAATCTGCACATTTAAATAAGATTCACATTTCAACAGGTTAGCCAGGATGGCTGGGGATTTAGCTCAGTGGTTCTACCGCCTGCATTGTAAGCACAAGGTCCTGAGTTCGATCCCTGATACAAAAAAAAAAATTATCCAGGCGCTAATATACTCTGCTGGATTGAGACCTGCCCTCCCCTCCAAGAAGAGGACACACGGTACTCACCAGTCATTAGGGTGTAGTAATTGGGATACGAGAGGCTAGGAAAGTCTGGAGTCAAGTAATCCACTTTTACCCCTCTGCTCACAATTTCTTTGAAACCAGGCAATGATTCCAGAGCCTCATCACTGATGTAGTCTGAACGAAAACCATCCAGGAGAAACACTAGGAGCTTCCGGTATGCAGAGGCTGGCTGAGCCAGGATGAGCACAAGGACCAGCAGGAGAGCCCCGATCTTTGCTGCCATGCTGACAAGAGCCTGCCAGAGCTTGGCTGGCACAGCTGTCCCCTTGCAAAGGCAGAGGATGGAGGATCTGTAGCTATTCTATCTTCTAGGGGCTGGACCTTGAGCTGCTGGCCTTCCTGAGCCAAGTTCACTTTCAGAATTTAAAGGAACAGCACCCGCTTTTAAGAACATCTCTACTCACCCTTGTCTATAAAGGACCAGAGACCTCATGCTTTTCGATAACCAGAACTCCCAAACAACGCAGACTTAACACTAGGGGAGAGAATGCAACCTTTATTATTTTTGGTGAATGTTCCCAAAATTACAAACACTCACAGAGAGGTGGAATTTAGAAGATGGTAAAGTCAACACAAACTTTGTTGTCCTGCTAAGCAAATGGAGGTGCCTGGGAAAAGGCAATCTTCTAATTTGTCATCCATCCTCCTACATCTCTGCCTGATTTAAACTTTCTAACTTATTCACTTACAATTTAGTAACCCAAAGCCGTTATTTTAGTACGTGAACAACAGACGATGAAATTAAGTGGGCCTATTTGTAAACTTTACAGCAATGCCTCTAAATAAATACTATCTGAAGGCAAACAAATTATTCGTCTAAGTCTCAGGTATTTATTTGTTCTTCATACACATGTATAGAAAGTGTTATTATTTTATTTTTTCCAAATACAAATAAATGTTGGTGTCCAACTTCACCTGTTGAAGGAGCTGGTTTAGAGATGAGCCAAAGAACCAGAGAGTAGTTTCCAAAGTTGGGAAGCAGGGGATCTTTTCTGGTAGGTTGATCTGAGGAACATAGTCCAGAGAATAAAACTGAGATAAAGAACTTGAAGTTTGGAATTCAAAATGTACAAGAAGAGCTAGAAATAATAACCAAGCAAGCTTCAGGACTGAAAGGAGTAGGCAGGGGAAGGAATCAGAGGCTACTGACACTCAGTGGCAAGGAGGTCAGCAAAGGGCAGCCGGGCACAGGTAGAGGAGGACACAGGCTTAGCACTAAATTATCAGATTTTGGGGACTTCATTGAGTTATTCTTTCATCTGGTGTAAAATTAAATGAGATAAAATTCATGTAAAAGCAGGTAAACTTGCACGGTCATGTAAAGCAGGTACTTTACAAAGTTAGATATTATTAGGGTTACCTACCCTATTGCTTAGATCCTGATGGAACATGCAAGGCCTCAGGCACAGCTTTGCAGGATTCAGCAGACTCACACACTAGCCACTTTCATTTGGATCAGCTCTAAAGAGCTTCTCCCACCTCTGTCCACTGCTCATGCCTTTCTGCATTCTTTTGTTCTATTGCGTTTAAAGTAAAGTCCTCCCATGGTACCATGGCACTTCCTAAATCATCCTGCAAAAAATGGAAACACGTCAACAAATTACCATTCTCAGATGACTTGATAAAGAGGATCAAATTTCACTTTCCCAATAAAATTTTTACAATTTCAACTGTAATGAAATTTTTTCTCATTAAAAAAGTTTTGAGTTTACTCTTAATATCTGTTAGTTTGAAAACAATCTTATTCTTATTTATTTGAGTTATATTGCTATTATTGTTGATCTACACAGGAAAAAGAAGGGAAGAGAAAGGCAAAGAAGAAGACAGGAAGAGTGAAAAGGAAAAGAGAGGAGAAAGAAAAGGAGAGGAGAGGCGAGTAAAAGGGGGACAGGAAGGGAAAGGAAGGAAAAGAAAAACGTGCTGGAGAATTCACAGGCTGCACAGGCTCCAAGCATCACACACATTAAAAGAAAAATTTCTTTACATGATGAGACACAAGGAGGCAGGAGACCCAGCTACATTTCACATTCTGTCAGCTCTTCAGCATTCAATATTTTCTGGACCCTGATCCAGGAGATATAATAACAAAGAACATCCTTATGATCTGCCCTCAGGGTGGCCCCTGGCTGGACTAACTTTAAGAGCAGATAGGTGCTTCAAAGCTTAAAGATGAGCATAAATGGAGCACCTATTTTTCTGTCCCTAGCATGGGTACATTCAAAATATGGCTCCCTGAGTGCCCTGTAAGAATGGAAGCGCTGAACAAGCTCTTTCCAAATCATTGTTCAGGGCTGGGGATTTAGCACAGCAGTTCGGTGGCCTGCCTTGCAAGCGCAAGGACCCGAGTTCAATACCCGGTAAAAAAAAAAAAAAAAAATGCACACAAATCATTGTTCACTCACCACCCCTCTACACCCAAGGCTCCCAAGGCTCCATGGATATTGCTGTGATGTATCTGAGGTGAGTGCATGGCTTATGTAATCTGTACTGTTGTTCAGATCCTGGGATACCTGCCAAAGACAGGGAACAGAGACAAAGACAATACTCAAGATGCAAGGAGACAAGGAGAAGTTTGCCTCCAGTGGAAAACTCAGCAATCTCTCCGGTGGACCCACTTTTATTAGCCAGCAAGAAGCACAGGGAGAATGGGGTGATGCATCATTCACAGAATAAGATTGATTGAAAAGATATTTTGAAAAACAGGGAACAGATTAAATTCTTGCAAGGGGAGTGCATGAAAGGGAACAGGTTCTTCCCTATACCTGGATGCCTGCCCAAGTTAATAAGGAGCTAGCGTTCTTTACATTGTCCTCAGCAGATGTTGTCTTGCCGAGGGAGTACCATGAACATGAGCTTTCTTCACATAGCCAGAAAGCACGTAGCTTTCCATATGCTTTTCTGTTTCACAAGGAAGGTCACATTGGTCTCAGGACTGTAGGGTGCAGTCACAAAATTGACCCCCCATAATTCTTTATTTAGTCTTGTTCCCAACAATCATGTTGTTTTGTGATACAGTTAGACCATTCTAATGTGTTAGATCAACAAATTATTACTAAATAAACATCTTTACTATATGCAATTATATATGAAGAAGCAATGGAATTCAAACCAAGTAAATCCAAGAGTGGCATATATCAGATTCTATCAGATTTTTTTTTTTTTTTTTTTTTTTTTGGTACTGGGGATTGAACTCAGGACCATGTGCTTGTGAGGCAGGTGCCAGCACCACAGAGCTAAATCCCCAACCCAAGATTCTTTTTCTTACGCTTTTGGAACTAGAAATATTTGGAAATAAAAGCTAAAGGGAAATAGGTAAAAACAGCAAATAAAACTGTTTAATATTCATTGCCCGAAGCCTTGTGTTCTGTCCCCCCGCCCCGCAGTCTCATGTGTTGAAGGTTTGCTCCTCAGCTAGTGGTGCTATTGGGAGGTGGTAAAAACACGAAGGGCCAATGCCTCCTTGGAGAAAATAAGTCACTGGGGAAGATCCTTGCAGGGTATATTGAGACCTAAGCCTTCCTGGCCCCCATGAAGTAAGCAGCTCTCTCCACCATATACTCCCTAGAATGATGTTCTGCCTCACCATGGACCTAAAATCAACAGATTTTAACTTGACACGATGGTGCTTGTTATCATAAAGGAGTAAAAATGTCAGGACTATAATCATGCTCATCTAGCTCTCAGAGACCTATGACATTGGCCAGATGGTAACAGTGTTCCTAGAAAAGAACATATGGGCTTCCCACTAACTCTTACTTGCTCTGTGTAAATGGGAGAGTTCTAGGTGTAATGAACCGAAGTCTAGTTTAAATCAACAAAGGCTTGGCCTCTCCAATAATTTCAAGACTTGAATCTGTATACACTAAGCATCTTTGAATGGCAATTTCCTTGAGTAAGGACAAAGACCTTGTCACATGTCAAAAATGTATGCTGTTCATCTTTCTCCCAGTCTTTTCCCCAGATCATGTATCAAAATGACTATAAATTGGGGAATGGGAAATAATCAAAATTTGGGGGATTCTAGCTAGAATCAACATTAATTTTTAGACATGTAAAATATCATCATGGTTCACCAGTCATAGGTGGGGATTACAGGGTCCAGGTAATCAATGAAACTTTAACCCAAGGCCATCTCACAGTGGGCTCAGTGGGTCACCACTGACTAAAGTCACTACCGTGAGAATAGGTTAGCTATTGCAAAAGTAGCTTTGTTATAAAACACATTCGACCCTGTCTTGCACCCTTGCTATCATGTTCTCTTATCCTTTTGTTTTCTGTCATGGGATAACACACAACCTTTACCAGGTGTTTGCCATCCTCATGGATCTCCCACCCTCTAGAACTGCAAGCCACATAAACTGCTACTGTTTATAAATTACCTGGTCTCCGGTACTCAGTTAATAGCAAAACAAAATAAACAAGACAGTTCTTTCACATAAAGTCTTTGCTTATATGCATCTTCTCAGTGAGATTTAATCTGCCCAGTTTATCTAAAATTGCAACCGTTCACCCTAAAAATACTTTTTACTTTCTTGGTTTTATCTCTTTCTGATATATTCTATAGTTTATTTTGATTTTTTTATTATTTATTTTTATTTTTTGAGACAGGGTCTCACTATGTAGTGAGACTGATCTGGAACTCACTATGTAACCCAGGCTGGCCTCGAACTCACAGTGATCCTCCTGCCTCAGCCTCCTGAGTGCTGGGATTACAGGCATGCACCACCACGCCCGGTTATAGTTTATTTTTATATGTTTATTTTTTACAGTTTAACTCCCCTAACCTCCGGCTGTAATGTTAGCTCAGTGAAGTTAGAGATCTTTGTCTTTTTTCACTGACATATTCAGAGAGCCTCGGATATTATAGGTTTCCATAAGAATCTGTTGGATAAATTAGTCTATCAAGATAATCAGGATTTCTTATATTCAAAGGAGAAAAGCAATAATATGGTAGAATGACCAATTTATTCTGGTTTTCTTGGGACTTTTTTGGTTATAGCATTGAATATTGTACACCCCAGGAAATCCTTCATTTCTAGACACACCATGATGATTATATATGTGGGGTTTGGAGGGAAGTTGGTGATCATCAAAAGTGGCTTTCTGGGCGATCACCCGGCGGCGTGCGTGCGAGCTCCCGGCCTGCGCAACAACAGACCCAGGAAGGCCCCAAAGACCCCGGAGGGGGTTTCTTCAGCTGCCTGCCTGCCTGCCTGCCGGCGATCACCCGGCGGCGTGTGCGTGAACTCCCGGCCTGCGCAACAACAGACCCAGGAGGGAAGGTAGCTGCACGGGCGCCGTTGAAACACCCACACGACACCCCCCCCATTCTCAAAACTCCTGATCGGGCCAGTCCTTAGACCA